TGTATATTGTGTAGAAGTTGAATGAAATGTTCTGTAGACATCAAGTAGGTCCATTTGATCTATTGTATATTATAGATCTTGGATTTCTTCATTGATATTTTTGTTTGGATGACCTATCTATTGATGATAATGGGGTGTTAAAGTCTACCACAACCACTGTGTTGGCGTTAATATATGCTTTAGGTCTTTCAGGGTATGTTTGATGAAATTGGGTGCATTGACATTGGGTGCATACAGGTTGATGATTATTATTTCCTTTTGTTCTACTTTCCCTTTTATTAGTATGGAATGTCCTTCTTTATCTCATTTGATGAATGTAGTTTTGAAGTCTACTTTGTCAGAGATAAGTAATGCTACTCCTACCTGTTTTCAGGGGCCATTGACTTGGTAAATCTTCTTCCAGCCCTTCATCCTTAGCCTATGCTTATTTCTGTCAGTGAGATGGGTCTCCTGTAAGCAACAAATTGTTGGATCTTCCTTTTTAATCCATTTCGTCAAACAGTGCTTTTTGATGGGTGAATTAAGTCCATTAACATTAAGCATCAGTACTGATAGGTATGTGGTGATTCCTGTCATTTAGTTGTCTTAGTTGTTTGAAGGTTTGATTGTGTGTAACCAAGTTGAGGTTCCTCTCTACTGTCTTGCTTTTTCTTTTCCTGTGGTTTGGTGCTGCCTGTCTTTTCATGGTTAAGTTAGGTTTCACTTTCTGTGTGCAGAATCCCTAGAAGAATCTTTTGTAGTGGTGGGTTTGTGGTCACATATTGTTATAGTTTCTGCTTATCATGGAAGGCTTTTATTGCTCCATCTATTTTGAACGATAGTTTTGCTGGGTGGAGTACCCTGGGGTTGAAGTTATTTTCATTCAGTGCCCGGAAGATCTCACCCCATGCTCTTCTTGCTTTTAATGTTTCTGTTGAGAAGTCTGCTGTGATTTTGATGGGTTTACCTTTGTACGTTACTTGTTTTTTCTCTCTTACGGCCTTCAATATTCTTTCCCTAGTTTCTGAACTTGTCATTTTAATGATGATATGTTGTGGGGTAGTTCTATTTTGATCTAGTCCGTTTGGTGTCCTGGAGGCCTCTTGCATCTGTATGGGAATATCTTTCTCTAGATTTTGGAAATTTTCTGTTATTATTTTGGTGAATACATTATGCATTCCCTTCGCTTGCACCTCTTCTCCTTCTTTGATGCCCATGATTCTCAAGTTTGGTCTTTTGATGGAGTCGGTGATTTCTTGCATTTTCTTTTCACAGGTGTTGAGTTTTTTAATTAATAGTTCTTTGGTTTTTCCTTAATTACCATTTCATCTTCAAGTTCTGAGATTCTGTCTTCTGTTTTTTCTATTTTGCTGGATTGGCCTTCTGTTTTGTTTTGCAGTTCTCTTTCATTCTTTTTTCTGAGGTTTCCATATCTTGGGTGTGTTCCTCTTTGATGTTGTCTAGTTTCGTCTGAGTTCATTTATCTCTTTATTAATCATATTCTGTTTCACTTTTGTGTTTATACAGTGCTTCTATGGTTTCCTTTATTTCTTCTTTTGGTTTTTCAAATTCTCTATTTTTGTTATTGGAATTTCTTGAGAGTCCCCTGTACATTTTGGTTGACTATATCCGGTATCATCTCTATGAAATTCTCATTGAGTACCTATAGTATGTCTTCTTTTAAATTATTCTTGTGGGCTTCATTGGGTTCTTTTGCATAGTTTGTCTTCATTTTGTTGTAGTCTGGATCTGAGTATCTCTTTTCTTCATTTCCCCTCTGGTTCCTGTACTAATTTTTTGCTGTGGGGAAACTGGTTTCCCTGTTTTTTCTGTCTTTCCATCATTGCTCTTGGTGTTGTTATTGTCCCTGTACTGTGTGCAATTAAGTATTTTCTGTCTTATAATAATAGCACTAGTGATATTTAGAATGGAAGGGTGAGAGGGGAAGGAAAGCAAAGAAGTTAAAGGAAAAGGGAAAAACAAATAAGTAGAAAGAAAAAAAACAAAACAAAGTAACAAACAAAAAAATTTCAAAGATATAAACAGGGAGAGACAGTGTACTAATCAACTGTAAGCTGAAAAGGCATTGGAGAGACAGAGAGAGGATTGAAAATAAAAAATAAAAAGAATAAAGATAAGAGTAAAAATAAAAAATAAGTAAATGAAGGAAAAAAAATAGAAATAAAATAAAACATAATGGAAAATAGAAAAAAAAACCTCCAAGTTCAAATGCAATGAAATTTCAGTCTTAATATTTTTGTGTCCATCTCAGCCTCCAATCCTGGAGATGGTGTTCTGTAGTTGTCTCATCAAAGGGGGCGCATAAAGTAGAATAAAACTGGACACGCAGACATACACACAAAAACCCAGAAAGTGTTCCAAGTTCAAATGCAATACAGTTTCAGTAAGTTTTTCAGCATGCAGTTGTAGTTTGGTTGTTTTCTTATCAAAGGTAGGGAAAGAGAAAAAAGAGTCTGGAGACAGGTCTGTGAATGGCTATCTATGGCTGTGGCTTTCCTGCCTGCTGCTGTCAGCCTGCTGTTGATGGAGGCATTATTTATGCAGATCTCAGGGGTGAGCTTAACGCTCACCTGGTCCCCAGGCTATGTTTACTCAGAGTTCTCCTGTGTCAAGCCTCTGCTACAAGCTTTCCCCTTTCCAAGCACACTGGGGGAGGTGACACTGCACCCGCTTTCTCAGGCCGGCATGTTTATTTACAGTTCATGTGGGAAGTGGGTCTTCCCCCCCTCCTGTGGAGTTTTCCTCCCACAGCTGCTTTTACAAGCTTTCCTGCTCCCTGCTTGCTGTGCGTGTGCTGCTGCTCCTGCCAGCCAGCATGTTTGTCTACAGCTCACATGGGAGGTGGATCTTCCCCCCACTCCTGTGGAGTTATCCTTCCTCTGCCACTCTCACAAGCTTTCCCACTCCTAGTTGCTGGGTGCGCGCCCCTGCTCCCACCGGAGCATCTCCAGACAGGCCCGGCTTGTTTATTTACAGTTCCAGGTGGGAATCCCCTGCCCCCATCTTCGGCACTCAGTGCACCCCACCCTCTTTGCAATATGTCTTTATTGTTCTTATTGCTTATTACTCAGTTTCTCTTTTTTCCCCGGGTGGAGGTCGGTCTGTCCAGGGGCTATCCTGTTCTGGCCCAGGGTTGTCTGTGGGAGTACCACGTACCGCTTAGCTCACCTTGTCCACGTCTTCCCAAGCTGTCTGGGTGCAGGTGTCTGGCAGCCCAGGGGCCCTCCTGGTTTCTCCGTTTAATGTGGAGTGGAGATTCTCTGGGCTGGATGGAGGTGTGGAGGGGTCAAAGTTTTGCCCCTTCTTGGTGGTTTTGCCTGCAAGGTGTGTCTCCAGCATCTTTCCAAGATTTCACTATAGGAAGCAAGCTTTCTGCTTCCTCCCTCTAGCCACCATCTTGGAATTCAAGTTGTTCCTTTAAATCAGTATCATTTCAACAATGAGAATATTATCACGCAACATAGACTTTACATCAAACAGCTCAGCATATATTGATAGAAATTGCACTTCACCAAGATACAACAATTTTATCATACTATCACCAAATACATGAATACTCCAAAATGTAGGGAGCAAAACTAGATTAAAAAAAGACTTTAAAGCATCATAAATAGAAATAGAACTTCACCAACACAATAATCCAATCAGACCTAGCAGGCAATACAGAGCACTGAAATCAACCCCAGAAGAATACAAATTCTTTTCAAGTGCTCGTAGAACATTCCTCAGGACAGATCAAGTGTTAGATAACAAGTCTTAATACAAACAAAAAGACTGAAATCATACAGGATATTTTTTCAAGTATATGGAATAAAACTAGAAATCAGCAGAAGGAAAACTGGAAATTTATATATGATAACATGTGCAAATAAATAACACACTCTTAAACAACCAAAGGGTCCAAAAGGTAAAAAAGGGAAGAAGATATCTAAGGACAATGAAAACAAAAACAAATGAATCAAAATTTAATCACACAGTGAAATCAAAAGCACTACTGAGAGACAAATTTATACCTCTCCACACCTGTGTGAGAAAAGCAAAAAGATCTTCTCTCACCAAAAATGAAATCCAAACTAGCCAAAGCTAGCATAAGGAAGGAAACAATAATAAAGATTATGGCAGAGATAAATCAAGTAGAAAAGCAAAATAAAAATCAGTAACACCAAATATTGGTTCTTTGAGAAAAACTAACAAACTTGACAAACCTTTACCTAGACTAGCAAAGAAGAAAAGTAAAGGAGTCAAGTAATAAAATTTGAAACTGAAGTTGGAACAATACTGTCAACGTTGCAGAATAAAAAGGATTATGAGTACTATTCAGCACTGCATTCCAGCACCACACAACTGAGTACTATTCAACCATAAGCAGGAATGGGCACTGATAGGAGCGAGAACGTGGACAACCCTTGTGGATTATGATTCTACTTAAAAGAAACAGAATCCATAGACACATAGTAGCTGTTACTAGGAGCTGATGGAGAGGAAAATGGGGAGTTAGCATTTCATGCAGAATTTCCCTTGGATGATGAGAAAGAATCAATGGTGCTTTTTGGGGGTGTTGAAAAACTTCTTTTAGCTACCAAAGATTCTGGAAATTATAATGGTTGAAACCCATAAATACATCTCTTAGCACTTTATTTACAAAATACTCTGCCATATGCTGGGCACTGGTGACTCTTAGCTACTCACCTGGTTTATTTGTTGAGATAGGGTCTTGCTCATTCTCTGCCCAGGATAGCCTTGAACCACAATCCTCCACCCTCTACCTCCCAAATAACTGGGATTATAGTCATGAGGCACTGTTCTCTGGCCCCCACATTGTTTTCATTCTCCAAAAACCTGACTTGGAGATGAAAGAGGACAACAAAAGTTTCCCTTCTGTATGAATTTTCTGATAAGAACTGGGCGAGTCTCTCGGGAACAGCTCCCATATTTTTAAAGTGAGTAAGCAACAGTGCTTTGGATGCTGAAACACACAGACCACACATAAAATGGCTGAACAGAGTAGGGTTTATTTCTCACATGTAACAGACAGAGGGTGCTGGGCCAGTGGTCGAAAGTCCTCTGTTCTCTACATTTCTGTCTGAAATCACAATGACTGAAGACATGTAGTGCTCAACCGCAAGTCTGGTAGGACTGGAAGGTCACTGTTAAATTTAGGCCTGGAAGGAATGTTCATCACTTGTGTCTTTATCTCCACAGAGATGACACAGAAAGAGGAAGCACAGAAGAGCTTGCTATATCACTCAGAAAATAGCTTTTGGAGGACACATAGCTAGCCTCTGCCTCTCAAGACTGTCCCACTGTGAGAATTCTCTGATGTTTCCTGAGGTCTGATTTCTGAGAAAGCTTTTCTACCTTCAAAGGCTCCTCTCTTGTGAGTGATCTGATGATTGCTGAGGTGTGGCTTCTGGATAAAGGTTTTTCCACACTGCTTGCACTGACAGGGCTTCTCCCCAGTGTGAATTCTCTCATGCACAGTGAGGCTTGATTTCTGGCAAAAGGTTTTTCCACACTGATTGAATTGATGGGACCTCTCTCCAGTGTGAATTATCTCATGTCCACTGAGGATTGACTTCAGGTGAAAGGACTTTCCACTCTGACTACACTGATAGGGCTTCTCCCACTGTGAATAATCTTATGCCTAGTGAGTTGTGACTTTGAGACAAAGGTTTTATGACACTGACTACACTTATATTGCTTCTCACCAATGTGAATCATCTCATGCTTAGTGAGGTTTGATTTCCGGCCAAAGGATTTTCCACACTGATGGCATTGATGGGGCCTTTCCCCAGTGTGAATTATCTCATGTGCAATGAGGACTGACTTCAGGTGAAAGGACTTTCCACACTGACTACATTGATAGGGCTTCTCCCCAGTGTGAATAATCTTATGCCTAGTGAGTTGTGACTTTGAGACAAAGGTTTTATGACACTGACTGCACTTATAGGGCTTCTCCCCAGTGTGAATTCTGTCATGCACAGTGAGGCTTGATTTCTGGCAAAAGGTTTTTCCACACTGATTACATTGATAGGGCCTTTCCCCGTATGAATTATCTCATGTCTACTGAGGATTGACTTCAGGTGAAAAGATTTTTCACACTGACTACACTGATAGGGCTTCTCTCCAGTGTGAATAATCTTATGCCTAGTGAGTTGTGACTTTGAGACAAAGGCTTTATGACACTGACTGCACTTATAGGGCTTCTCCCCAGTGTGAATAATCTTATGCCTAGTGAGTTGTGACTTTGAGACAAAGGCTTTATGACACTGACTGCACTTATAGGGCTTCTCCCCAGTGTGGAATCTGTCATGCACAGTAAGGCTTGATTGATGGCGAAAGGTTTTTCCACACTGATTACATCGATAGGGCCTTTCCCCAGTGTGAATTATCTCATGTGCACTGAGGGTTGACCTCAGGTGAAAGGACTTTCCACATTGATTACACTGATAGGGCTTATCCTTGGTGTGAATCATCTCATGCACAGTGAGGTTTGATTTCTGACCAAAGGCTTTTCCACACTGATTACATTGATAGGGCCTTTCCCCAGTGTGAATTAACTCATGTACAATGAGGATTGACTTCCGGTGAAAGGACTTTCCACATTGATTACACTGATAAGGCTTCTCCCCAGTATGAATTCTCTCATGCTGAGTGAGGTTTGATTTCTGGCCAAAGGTTTTTCCACACTCGTTACATTGATAGGGCCTTTTCCCAGTATGAATTACCTCATGTCTATCAAGGGTTGACTTCAGGTGAAAGGTTTTTCCACACTGACTACACTGATAGGGCTTCTCCCCAGTATGAATCATCTCATGTACAGTGAGGTGTGATTTCTGGCCAAAGGCTTTTCCACACTGATTACATTGATAGGGCCTTTCCCCAGTGTGAATTACTTCATGTCTATCAAGTGTTGACTTCAGATGAAAGGTTCTTCCACACTGATTACATTGATAGGGCCTTTCCCTAGTGTGAATTATCTCATGTACATCGAGGATATACTTCAAGTGAAAGGATTTTCCACACTGATAGGGCTTCTCCCCAGTGTGAATCATCTCATGCCTAACGAGTTTTGACTTTGAGACAAAGGTTTTATGACACTGACTACACTTATAGGGCTTCTCTCCAGTATGAATCTTCTCATGCGTGGTGAGGTATGACTTCCTGGCAAAGGTTTTACCACACTGACTGCACTTATAGGGCTTTTCCCCAGTGTGAAGTATCTCATGCTTCGTGAGATATGACTTCTTGTGAAAGGCTATTCCACACTGATTACACTGATAGGGCTTCTTCACAGTGTGAATTATCTGATGCTGGGTGAGGTATGCCTTCTTTACAAAGTATTTTCCACACTGATTACACTGATAGGGTTTTTCACCAACATACAACCCTTCAGGCTTACTAGGGCAATGTCTGTTCTCGCATACGTTCAACTGCTTGGGCTTCACTCCTAAAGAGCCTGCATTCTTTACAATCAGATTTGAAATATGGCTGGAAGTCAAATGATCAGCATGTCCTAATATAACTCTCTCCATTCGTGGTGTGTTGTTCATAGTGATTCCAGCTTGCCACAAATGTCTGCCTTGACTTTCCTCACTGTTCTCAATTATGACATCCCCCTTCTGGACATCTGAAGTGAGAAAAAAGAAAATAACCATACAAATGAAACACAAGCATTTCTATATAACGTGCATGTATATACAAAGGAGGTTCTTCCCCTCCTACTGGCAAAATATTTTATAAAAAGCACAACAGGTATTGGCTTGTATAGTTGTCTTTCTACTGACTTCAACTAATAAATGACAGTGATAGATCTTATATTGTTGATCTGTTTTTCCTTGCTTCTTTCATTTTATTTGCATGTGGTAGTATTTGTTAAATATTCACCTACAGTCTAGGCATCATTTTCGATGGACTGTGCTGCCCTGCCATTTCTTTCCCCTATTGTTTTTCTCTATTGTTTTGCCACTGTTTTCTCATTATTCTGCTCAGATGGGTACAAGAGTTTTTAGGACCAGCAACTTGCATGATTCAAGTGAAGTCTGACTGAATGCCACCAGAGCAGGAACATGACATTGGTACAGCATTTGCATCTATATTTGTTTAGCTTTCATTCTTACATGGGGAATAACTATATGTATCTAGGGAGTTTTTCAAACATAAAATGTCTTCCTTCCAATTCTAGATAAGAAGAGCTTCCTACAACTTAACCTCACTAACTCTGTTTCTCAGAAATATAAGTATTTTATTTATCCCACCATGCTGGACACCCACTTATGAAGCCCATCATCTTTATACAGTACTTTTCAGGCTCCTTCTAAGACCAAAAATCCCAGTATCTCCCCTTTATTCCTGGTACAAACACCCATCCTTGACAGTCAAGTTCTCCTGAATGATGTTATCTTGTGCACTGGACTGTCACCTTTCTCCTACTTTCATAGAAAATGGAATATTTCTCCTCTTCTTTGTTTATACTGATATCCATTAAGAAAAGATGGAAATGCTAATGTCAAACTGTATTCCCAAACAGAGATGTGATGTCCTCAACATGAAACCCTTGGTTCACTCAAACTTGGGACCAATAATGTCCTGGCTTTTCCACAAATGCAGACCCATATGCTGGATCCTCCATTTTCATGGTGTCTGACATCATGGTTCACAAGGGTAAGTCTGGACTTCTCTCGTTTTCTTATTCACTACATATGTGAACTGCTCTGTAAGTTTAAATAACAGCTTTAAGCTACCAATTCCAAATTTGTGGTTCCAAGAGTGATAGACTCTCAAACATAGACCTTCACATTCACCTACTATGTGTAAAATTTTGAAGAGAGGAACTAAAACTCAAGGTATGTCAAGATGAACATTTCATAATTCCACTACAAATGTACCCTAGTGGAACAATATTTGACCAGAACCCTTGAGACCCTGGGTGTAATCCCCAGGACAGCAAATTTAAACAAACAATCTCCATCTAAGACTGTCTTCTCTGACCATCCATCCTAATTGATGACATATCAAGTTTCCTTTTCTCATGCTGATGAAATATTGCTCATGGTTCTTACTTGACTACTTAAAATACATTACTGTCTTGTTTTTTTCTCAGCACACTATAAATTCGATGAAAGAAACATTATTTTGATAATTTCTTACATCATTACAACTATAAAATTGCTGGTGCTTACAACCAGCTTCAGTACAATGTGATGCAGCATAAATAATTTATGAATAAATGTCAGATAATACTAGTCCATGAGACACCAGGCATGGGGGCAGGCACCTATCATCCAATCCCTAAGAAGGCAGAAGCAGGAACATCCATACTACAAGGAAAGCCAGGGTCTGTCTGTATCAGGAGTCTGCCTCAAAAAATTTTTAAACCAGGTGCCAGAGCCTCATGTCTCCAAATCTAGATCCTCAGGAGGCTGAGAACAGAAATCCTGGTTAAAAGACAGCCCCAGGCAAATAGATCACAGAACCCCACCTCGAAAATAACCAAAGCCAAATGGACTGGAGTTGTGGATTAGCTGATAGAGCATCTGTTCTGCAAGGGCCTGCCTGCTTTGGGAGCTCAAAGCCCTGAGTTCAATCCCAGTCCCACAAAAATTAATTTATTTTTGAAAAAGGAATTATTTGAAAAATATCCATGAGAATGGAGGGTGAGCCAACTCAGAAGACTAAGAAAGTAAATACCAAAGAAAATATCTAAGAATAGGGTTTAGATTGGGGAAAAAGGTAAAAAATATATGTGAGAGAGCCCTCCTTGGGGTTGATATGTGCAAGCGTACCATCTTCAGTTCTGCAATCTGGAAGATAACCTGGTGACGTCAGTGCAATATGGCTGACATCTGCTGGACTCCCCTCTAATGCTCTCTTCACTCAGGATGCACTGACTCACCTGGTGGGCTCTGGTTTGGGGGTTCTTTTTCCATCCACTGCTCTGCTCCTTGCTCTAGCATGAAGATTAGCTCAGGTTTGGTGATGCATTGCCCTGTTCATGCCAAACAAGGTAGGATTTTGTCAAATAATTAAGCCTGGTATCTCCCACTATCCATTTCTGTGATGATGAACATGTTTTGTACCTGGGTTACCAGCAAGGGAGCTGATAGCCACAGCAACCAGTTTCAAACACTTGAATCAGGATGAGTCTTACTGAGGAGCTACATTTAAATTTTTATTGAATTTCTTTCTCCTTTTTCTTTTATTGATGTATTAGCTTATTATACTTGTACCAGGGGGGACACTGTGACATTTACAATGTAGTTGTAATAAACTCTCCTCCCAACATTCTTAGAACAGTTTCAATAAGTCTCACTGTCCCATTTTCTTACATGAATACATAATACTTCACTATATTCACCCTCCTTCACCCATTCCTTATGCCATACCAAAGCCTGGACTTCTTTTACCTTTCTTTCCTTCATACTTGAAAAAAAAATTGTTTGTTTATGACGGTTATATAGGGAGTTTCACAGTGACATTTTCTTATATACATATATGTATTATACCCTGAATTGGTTTATCCCCTCCATTTTAATTCAGGTTCTTGCAGCAAGATAAACCCTAGCTTTGAAACTGCGCAATTTAGGGGGACACGTGAACTTTTCATGAGAGAGGATGAGCAATTGGGTTCTTCATGGTCTGGAACTGTGCACCTAAATAGTTTTCATATATTTACTAAGAAGATAGCACTTATTCCTGAGGGCTACAGGGCAGTTTCACTCACCCAAGGATACCAGGCTGCTGTAGGTCTCCAGCATCACCTCCCTGTACAGGATCCTCTGAGCATTGTCCAGGTCCTGCCATTCCTCCCAGGTAAAGTCCACTGCCACGTCCTCAAATGACACCAAGTCCTGGAATGCCATATTTCTTCTCAGCTCACCAGTAGTTGGAATATGGTAGTTCTGCTTCTGTATATGGGGGTGGGAGTGGGGGGGAATTTTTATATGTATTTTGCAAAACATGTCACTTGTTTTGCACTTTATGGTAAAGGAAAGTCACAGGAGTGTACTGCCACTGTAATAACTTATTAAGTACTAAATAATATTAAAATATTGTAACAAAGTTTACCTCACAAACCTAAAAACATACTTATATCAAGGGAATAAAGTATGAGTAAAAACAGGCCTCCTTGTACATGGCTGTAATTCCAGCACAAAACAGAAGGAGACAGGAATATTTTGAGTTCAAGGTCAACCTAGGTTACATAGCAAGTTCCACTCTATTTAAAAAAATAAAATAAAAGTTTGCTCCTTTAAAGACATTATGATCTGGAATGAATAAACCATTAAATAGGAATAAAAATACACATTCTGTTAAGAGTAATTGATTTACAGCTTCAATGTAAATGAAGCAGGGAAAGAGAACATATACTTCTATTTTGCATGATGAGTCTGCACTTCACTGAGAAGACTGATTCTTTTCAAATGACTAATAAACTAAAAATAAGCACATGGGCATCACAATATTTTCTTCCTACCTACAAAAGATTGCTGGTGTTCACTTCAGGCATCTCTGCCATTTCCTAATCTACTGGTGTAAAATGAGAGGTCAGGTGAGAACAGGCAAGCAAACTGAGCAGATCTATATTCTGCTCAATTGGAAAGGAATAAGGGAGTGTTAAAGAGTAAGAAAACAGAGCAAGACATGAGATTACAGAGAAGTAAGACTGCAGAACATCAAGGTAACCTTCAAGGAGAAAAAAGAAATGAACTGCAGGAACAGAATTTGGTAAGGATTTGTTGACCGAAGATAAAAAGATATTTTACTTCCAGATGATCTGCATGACTGATGCTACTTAAATACTGGTGCCATAATGTGTAATTTGGAAAATGGAAGAATAGAACAGCAGTCCTGGTGTTACTGGCTCATGTTTGTAATCCTAGTTACTCTGCAGGCAGAGATCATCAGGATCCAGGTTTTAAGGCACCCCAGGCAAATAGTTCAGGAGACACTATCTCAAATACACGCAGCAGACACACACACAAGAAAAGGAGAACAAAAGAAAGAAAATACCCAATATTAAAAAAAAAAAAAAAAGGGCTGGCTGAGTACCAAAATGTTAGCACACCTGTCTAGGAAGCAGTAGGCCCCAGCACTGTCAAAACAAAACAAAAACAAATCCAACAAAGTGATACAGACTTGAACATATTACATTTGAAATGCCAGATACTACACTTATGGGAGGGCCAACTATCAATTACATATATGATTTCAGAGTTCAGGAGAGAGATGTAAATTGAAGATAAAATAATTTGCTAGGTAACAAAATTTTAGTGCTGCCTAAAGTTATCACAGTGAATGAAATGGATGGTCTTCAGAGAAGAAAGTAACAAGAAAAAGAACATAAGGAAACTATTTTAAGAATTTGTCCTGATAGAGTACAAGAAATACACTATGAAGGCCAAGAAAAAGTTCTCTGAATTTGTCCCAAAATAAAGAAAATATCAATGGTAAGAACTCTGAGGCTTTCATGGTAGTGCACACCTGTAATCCCAAGAACTCAGGGGGCTGAGGCAGGAGGATCATGAGTTCAAGGCCAGCCTGGGCTACATAGTGAGACCATGTCTCAGAAACAAAAAAGGAAAAAGAGGCTCCACTAACATAGTTAAGCATATTCATATTCTTTGAAGATGAATTGTTTCAATGGTTCACATACACATTGACAAGTTTCCTTTTAAACTTCGACCCTGGACAATACATGGTGGTATACACCTATAATAAAAGCACTGAGGAGGTGAAGGCTGGAGGATCATGAGTTTGAGGTCAGTCTGAGCTACATAGAACACATAAGGCCAGTATGAGGTAAAGAGGGCTCTTGCCTCAAAACATATAAATAAGTGAAAATACAAGTACGAACTTAGTATCTGTTAAGCTTTAGTTAGGATATGGAAGGCCATACAGGACCATGTGTGAAAGGCTAGGACCCAGTCCATGCTGGGATGGGCAGGTGGTGGAATCTTTAAGAGGTCATGGCAGGTGTGCCCTACAGCAGATGTTGAGACCTAGCCAATTCTTGTCTATCTTTTACATCCTGGCTATGGGGTAGCAGCTTCCCCTGCCATGAACTCCTGCCATGATGTACTTTTGGCCCTTGCACAGGTCCAAAGGCAATGGAGCCAAGTGATGATGCATTGAAAACTCCAGAGCCAACAGAAAATATAAATCTTTCCTCATTTTAAGTTGATTATCTCAGGTATTTTCTAATAATGATAGAAAGCTGATAAACACAGGAAACTGTCACTCCATCCAAAAAATCAAATACAGAGCTGAAGGAACTGAAAATACAACTCTTCCTGTATCCTAAAGGGAATGGAGACAAAGCACAGTACAACCAGTCTATGTCATTCCATTATAGCAGCCTTAACAGAATAACACAGCATGCCCTTCCCATACCTTACCATATTACTAAATGTATTATTTCCAACAGCTCCTTTCACTTGCCATGATGTGTTAGGCTATAAACAAAGTATTTCTAAGTACATTAAAAAACAAAAACAACCCACAATTTGAAGTGGTAGAGGATGCATCAGAACCAGACATGGCATTATCACAAAGCAAACTTGTGTTAAAACTGATTAAGGCACTGAGGAAGCTAATTGATAAACTATAGACAGCATGCCAGGACAGGTGGGCAAAACAAACTCCAACTGTGTATGGGGTACAAGAAGTTCATTTAAATACAAACACATATGTCTGGCTCATACCTGTAATCCTAGCATCTGAGGAGGCAGAGATCAGAAGGATGAAGGTTCAAGGCCAGCCAAGGCAAATAGTTCTGGAGACCCTATCTTGAAAATACTCAACACAAAACAGAGCTGGGAGAGTGGCTCAAGTGGTAGAGCACCTACCTAAGAAGTATGAGGCCCTGAGTTCAAACCACAGTGCCACCAAAGAAAAATAAATAAATAAATAAATAAAAACACATATGACTTAAAAATAAATGGATGGGGACGGGGTGAATGTGAACACAGTACATTACATGCACATATGTGTATGGAAATGTCACAATGAAACACCTTTGTGAAATTAATACACACTAACTGTTAATTAAAAAATAAATGCAGAAAATATATCATGCTAACACTAATCAAAGGAAATCAGGGGCTAGCAATGTAGCCGAGTTGTACAGCAGGAGCCTGGAAAGTGACTGGGAAAAGGGGCACTAGGTAACAACACAGTGACCAGTTCTGCAACATGTAACAATTCTTAACATGTTTGCATCTATCAACAGATTCTGAAACTCTGTGAGAGCAACATTATTAGAGGTGCCAGAGAAAGATGAATCTACAAGCACAACTGGAGATGTCAACAGTCCACTCTAAAAAAACACAGACCCACACAGTGCAACTCAACAACAGTTGAGTTCAAGTGCATGTAATTGGCACCAATAGATAACTGCTTCCAGCAACAGACTGCACATTCTTCCCATGCACACAGGGACAACCACCAACACAGGCCACCCTCTCAGCCTGAAAATACACCTGTACAGATTTAAATGACTAGAAAGCACACAATGTCTGCTTTCAGACCAGAGTGGTACAAATACCCAAAATAAAACTGAAAACTCCAAATATATAGAAATTAAACAACATACTTACAGATAGTAAAAGAATAACTCACAAGAGAAATTTTTAATTTCGAACTAAGTGAAAATGAAAGCACATTTTATGAAAATCTGTAGGATGCAGCAAAATAGTGCTTAAAGTAGAATCAATAATCCAGTTCTTACCTTAGGAAACTATGCAGAGAAAGTAAAAATTAAAACTGGCAAAAGGAGAAAACTACAACAGGAATCAGTGATATTGAAACAGAAACTCAACAAAGAAAATCAGCAATGGAAAACAAGTGTTTCTTAGAAACATCAATTAAAAAAAAAAAATAAAGGCCAGGCATCAGTGAGTCACTCCTGCAATCCTAGCCACTCAGGAGGCAGAGAATAGGAGGAAGGCAGTTCAAAGCCAGCCCAGGCAAATAGTTCCTGAAACCCTCTTTTGAAAAACCCTTCACAAAAATGGAGCTAGCAGAGTGGCTCAAGGGTGAAGGCCCTGCATTCAAGTTCCAGTACTGCAAAATAAATAAATAAAGAACATGAAACAATTTGGGTTATAATAAATATATGCATGGAAATGTCACTCCCCATGTATATATCTAAAACAAAAAATGACTGCTTTTTTCCATTCACAAAAATCAGAGAACTGGAGGGAAGAATAGGTCCTGCCTGGAGGTGTTGGTACCAGTGGGAGGGAAGGAGATGTGGAAAGGACATGTGAGGGTGCATATAGTGCAAATTTTGAGTACATATGTATGTAAATGGAAAAATGAGACCTGTTGAAACTGTTCTGGGAATGGGGGAAGAGTGGTTAAAGAACAATGGTGGAGGCTGGTGAATTCAAGTATGATATATTTGATATATTTTAAGAACTTTTATAAATGCCACAATGTACCCCCACCTAGAACAAGTAAAAAAAGAAGAAAAACATACTACCTGATAACAGAAAAACCATCAATAAAATTATTCCTAATTAATGTGCCTCATGTCCAGCAACTCAGGGGAGAGATGGACAGGACCACAATTTGAGGTCAGGCTGAGGGTGTGGCATGATCCCAGCTACTTGCAAGGCTATAGGAAGGAGAACTGCAGTCTCAGGCCAGCTCAGCAAAAACTATGAGACACTATGTGAAAAATAACTAGAGCAAAAATGACTTTGAGGCATGGTTCAAGTGGTAGAGAACCAGCTGAACATAAAGGAGACTCTGAGTTCAAACACAAGTACCACCAAAAAAAAAAAATCAATAAAATCCTTAAGCATAGTCAGGTTGTGAGGGAAAAAAAGAGAAAGGATACAAAGTACTAATAACAGAAATGAAAAAAAGGGGTGTCACTACATATTCTGTGAACAGTGAGAGA